TTCTATGTATTAGGTAGACCTGCTAGGGCTCTTGGTCCTTTTTGGAAGGTCTCTGGTGCAGGCTCATGTCAGATGCTGTTTGTGACTGGCCTTGTGTACCCTCTTCGGAGCTATCAATAACCCATGGCTTGAGGGTCCCTCTATTGGGGCTGGGTGCATTTGGACAGGACCAAGATGCACACCAATGTCTGCTTTCCCAAGGCCTGGGTTCTGAAGCAGATCAGGCGAAGACTCAAAGCACTCTGAGGTTTGCCTCTGCTTGCAGGCTAATTAATCTGATTCTCTTAATGAGCCTCAGGCTGTAGAAACTCCACAGGGTGGGGCCAGAGGTTTACTAATGGGGTGGGGCAATTGCTTTCCCCTCAGCAAAAGCTGTTGCTAGGAAGATAAATGTCTGCCTGTGAAAGATGTCCTCTGCAGTTTGGGGGAATGACTTGGCACAGGAATCCAGAGGGTGCCCTCTGAGCTCTCTCTCTAGAGCCCACAGCCCTGGATTTTCCTCGCGGAGCTCCATCCCTTCTGCCCTCCCTCTGCTGGAGCCCAAGGTGCATTGCTATATATAAAACTTTGTGGGTTGGCTCTTTAAGAGGGTGCCTGCATTTTCAGCCATCTCTCCCTGGCAGACAGAAACCCAGCTGCTTTTCACAGCCAGATGTTATGTGGACACCTTTCTCAGCTCTGGTGGTCTTGGCTGGGAAGCCCAGCCTGGGGTTTAGGCCCCAGAGTCCTCAGTGGGAACCCCCCACCCTGAGCTATCCCTCCATACCTTCAGCTGCTGCCTGTGGGAGCCCAGCCAGCCCTCTTGCACCTCCGCACTTCCTGCCAGTCTCTATGTGGCCTCCCCTTTTCCTCCTAGGTTACGAGGGTGCTCTCCAGCTCGTCCTCAGTTGCAGTTGATTATTCAGGATGGTTTTTCTATATTTTAGTTATAATTCCAGTTTGGTCCTGGGAGAGTGTCAGCGTAGCTTCCTCTCAGTGGCTGCCATCTTTAATCTCTCCAGACCTGATTTTTGTTTGTTTTTTTCCCATCCACACATTCATACTCCATCTAAAACAGGGCAGTCTTCGCATTTTCTAACTGGAATAAATAAGGCAGCGGGTTTTCCTGGACCATGGGGTCCCCTGGGGTTTGAAGTCAGGGCTGCCTTGGGGTGCAGACAGAAGGCTCCTTCAGGACTGCCAGAGGGAAGCACAGCCCATCCGGGCCAGGCTGCTCTGAGGGGCCTCCGGGGGCAGCCTCACTGCCGCCACAGCCATCTGAGGGGGGTGGGGGACCCTGGGCCAAGGCCCTGCTAGTTTGGGCTGAGTGACCCACACCGCAACTCCGAGCCTGAAGCCGAATCCCATTTTCTCAGCCCAGAGCCCCTGGCTTTCCAAAGGCGGGTGACTCCACCAGGTAGAGCGCTGGCCCCTTTAATGAAGAGTGAGCTCCCACGGCACACAGGAATCTCGCGAGAAGAAGGAGGGGCAATTTACCGTGTCCCTGCGTCCCCGCTTCCACCCCAGCCTGACCCAAACCCAAACGAGGGGTGGTGCGATGAGGAGAGGGCAAGTCGCAGGCTCTTGCGGACGGGCAGGGCCTTCAGATCATCTGAACGTAAAGGATCAATAGGGGCCAAGGCTTCTCAGTGGGCATCGTGGACACTTGAGGCTTCTTGGCGCTGTTCCCCCCAGCACCCCCCCTGCAGCAGGCTGCGCAGTGGTCTGGTCCGCTTGCCGGAAGCGGAAGCTCGGCGCACTGTGCCGTTGGTTGTGGCTCAGCAGAGCCTGGGCCAAGGTCGCTGAGTCACAGGCCGTGCGGGCGCCATGGAGGAGCCCAGGGCTGCCCCTCGGCCCACGTGGGGCTGGTCCTGGAAAAGCGAGGCAGGGTTGCGGCCTCATTGCCTGAAGATATGAGAAAAACGCCTAATCCCTATGGTTTTCTAGGGGAGTTGCTGATATGTGCAGTTATTGTTGGATGTTTTGCTGCTCTCTTGTTTTTTGTGGATGAGTTTTTGATGGATTAGAAGCAGGCTTTATGTGGAAAGAGAATAAGCTTGCTGTAGAACTTTTTACACTAATGGAAGAAGAATGTAAACTACTTGAAAAATTTAGCCTCGTGCAACAAGGTTGTGAAGACTTAGAGTCATTAAAGGATTCCAGCTTTGAGGAGTCAACAGAAGCTCGAAGTTTGGAGGCCATCTGTGAAAAGCTGAAAAGCTCCAAATCTGAATTTGAGGATGAAGTACTCTTTCTAGAAAAAGAGTTAAAGGAAGAGAACTCTGAACAAGATGAATTGGTGGTGGATATTTCAAAAAGGATACAGTCCTTAGAAGATGAATCAAAATTACTCAAATCACAAGTAGCTGAAGCCAAAACAACCTTCAGAATATTTCAGATGAATGAAGAACGACTTAACATAGCTGTAAAGGATACTTTGAGTGAAAATTCCCAACCTCAGGAAAGCCAGAAACACCTTTTACAAGAAGCTGAAGAATGGAAAGAACAAGCGAGTGAACTTAATAAAGAGAAAATAACATTTGAAGACTCAAAAGTAGATGCAAAACAGGTTCTGTGTGATACAGAAAATCAGATCACATCTCTGACCGAATGCTTGCTAAAGATGCCAGACTGGGCTGCGGTGCTTGGCGAAGAGTTAAAAGATGATTACTTGGAACTGGAAATGAGTGATTCAGAAAATGATGCGCTCTTCGGTAATCAGCCCAAAAGAACTTTGAAGAAGCTGATTCATGCTGCTAAGCTAAAGGCGTCTTTAAAAACCCTAGAAAGGAAAAGAAACCAAATATACACCCAGTTAAGTGAGGTAGATAAAACAAAGGAAGAACTTACAGAGTGTATTAAAAATCTCCAGACTGAACAAGCATCTTTGCAGTCAGAAAATGAACATCTTGAAAATGAGAACCGAAAGCTTCAGCACAAACTCAAAGTAATGACTGAACTGTATCGAGAAAATGAAGTGATACATAACAGGAAACTAACAGAAGAAAATTACCAGTTAGAGAAAGAGAAAAAACTTTCTAAAGGAGATGAAAAGACCAGCCGTACAGCCAAAGAGCTGGAGACCTATAGGAAGCGAGCCAAAGATCTTGAAGAAGAATTAGAGAGAATCATTCATTCTTATCAGGGGCAGATTATTTCCCATGAGAGAAAAGCCCATGATAATTGGTTGGCAGCTTGGACTGCTGAAAGAAACCTCAATGATTTAAAGAAAGAAAATTCTTACCTCAGACAAAAGTTAATTGAAACAGAGCTTAAATTTGAACTTTTAGAAAAAGATCCTTATGCACTTGATGTTGCAAATACAGCATTTTGCAGAGAGTATTCCCTGTATGGTCCTTCACCATTGGGTCGACCTTCATCTGAAACAAGAGTGTTTCTCTCCCTCCCAGGTTTGTTGGAGGGTTCACTCAGACTCTCACCTTTGCTTCCAGGCAGAGGACGAAGAGACTCAAGAGGCCCAGGGAATCCTCAGGACCTCCAGATTACTAATGAAAGAGGAGAATCAAGCTCTGATAAATTAACTGATCCTCACAGGGAACCTTCTGACACTGGGTCCCTTTCACCTCCGTGGGAGCAGGATCATGGGATGATGATTCTTCCATCAGGCCAAACTTATCCTGACCCAGCTCTTCCTCTACATAAGCAAGACAGATTTTATTCTAATAGTGGTAGACTATCTGGAACAGCAGAACTCAGAAGTTTTAATATGCCGTCACTGGATAAAGCAGATGGGCCAACGTCTTCGGAAATGGAATCCAGTAGAAACAATAGGAAAGATGATCTTGGTAATTTAAATATGCCTGATGCATCTCTCCCCACCAAAAGTGAAGTAACTGGCCCTGGCTTTGTTCCTCCATTGTTTCCATTGGATGCAAGGGACCTGTACATGAGAAGAGGTCCTCTTTTTCCTCCACCTCCAGGAAACGTGTATGGAACTTCCTGTGATTATTTTCCTCCAAGGGACTTTTCTGGTCCACCACCTCCTCCATTTGCAATGAGAAATGTCTATTCACCGAGAGCTTTTCCTCATTATCTTCCCCCAAGAGCTGGATTTTACCCCCACCCTTACCCCCACATCCTGAAAGTAGAAGTAAGTACCCATCAGGGTTGATTCTGCCTTCAAGTGAGCCTACTACTGAATGAACATCCAGAACCACAAGAAACTACAATAATTTGCAGTCTCTCGTCAAAAGTATTTTGACTTCTTTCATTTTCAGTTTAGCAGCTTTTGCTTAAGTAATTATACTTAATGCTCAAATTGGAGCTTAATGGAATTACATTGTCAGGATCGTATTTTGTAAATAAAGATAATTTAAATATGAATTTAATTAATAAATTATTTCTATTTTACTTTATTCTACATAATTTCACTATTTTAATTTGAGTAACAAATCCACTATCACATAAACAATAATGGGAGTTTCCTATATTTAATCTTGTAGTTGGAGATGTTTTAAACTCCAAAGGCTGTATCTTTATGCCAAGAACTATATTTACTATGGTTGTAGACAAATGTGAAAGTGACTGTATGCTTAATTAAATAAATTTTAATTGATTTAAAGACTTTCTCAGCATTGATAATAAAATCAGCTAGGTTTTCTACTCTGTTAAAAATAGAGTAGAATAGTCCTCACACAAAATCCTTTGACCTGAATGCTGTAAAAGAGGGCTCTGCTTCAAGGTTGGTGTATCTGAAAGTGTGGATCTTTTCCAACTAGGAATCTAAGAATGAGGGACATTTTTCCAGATGTGAAAATCCAAGGGCTACAATTTTGCTGCAGTGTCCATTTGATTACTTTCAAAAAATCAACAAATATTTTTCGAGTCAGCTATGGGCAGAGGGACTTGTTGGAGTGATACAAAGGACTGTGGTCCCCACCTTCAAGGAGCTGACTCTTGTACATGACCAGCTAACCAGTGCTTCCAGCAGAGCCTCTTAAGGACCAAGGGGAAGCAAAGGTCAAAAGTGCTACATAACTTACTCTCCCTTTCCCTTGCAGACCAAGACGCAAACTGCATGGGAGAGGAATCCTAGCTCACCCCAACCGTCAGTGCGAGATACACCAAGTGAATCTCAAATATCAGGCTTCCCACCGGATTTGGAGAAAAGACCGGACTACCATTGTTGGGAAGTTCTGCACTGCTCCTTTGCCCGTCAATGACAAGTAAGCCTGCCCCAGACACACCTATAAGGACCAATCAATCCTTTGATGTGATGCTTGTTGAGATTTAATTTCATCATGAGTGATGAGCTTCTTTCATGCAGAGATGACAACAACCCAAGGTTTTTATAACACTCTTGCAGGGCCATCTTGGGCTGGGAATGTTAGGAAGCCAGAGAGGGTAAACTCTAAACTCTGAGCATTCCCACTTCAATATAAGAAACCCCTTTCTTTCTTTCTTTCTTTCTTTCTTTCTTTCTTTCTTTCTTTCTTTCTTTCTTTCTTTCTTTCTTTCTTTCTTTCTTTCTTTCTTTCTTTCTT